GCCGGTGATTTCGATCAATAGGATGTCGCGTGGACTCGGGAGATTGATGCTTGCTTGGCCCAGGCGATTACTAGTATTTATGGACCATATAGAGAGGCCGAGGAGGCGGGGAGCCGTGAGCGGAAAGGTTCTTTGTTCTTGTTCCAGTTCCAAGACTCGTACCGAGTTGACTTCGGGAGACCCAAAATTGCCGAATTTGCCCTACCACGCTGCGCTAACGAGAGGCGGACGAGGACTAGACTCTGATTCGTAGTAGCACCAGTACCGTTAATGGAAACGGAACTCCTACACCGGGGTCCGAATCCGATCCACCCGACGCTCAGGTTAGCGTGGGCCGGCCCAACAACTTTTCTCCCGCGCTTGTCTTCGTCTGTTGTCTCCACTCAGAAAAACCGCTCCCCACTTGAAGCAGCGTCTGCCCCATTGCAGTGTGGTCTACCGCGACCGCCTTGCAGCGACGTTCTTCTCCACGCCCGCTCGACGGCGGCCTCATCCTCCATCTCCACCGCATCTGAGCGCCGGCGGCCGCCTTCCTCCCTCTCCACCGCGCTTAGCGAACGACGGGCAGGTGTCGACCGCTTTGTGTGGCCAGGTGGCCAGGGGAGGGGCCGTCCCTGGCAGGGGCCCAAGCTAGGCGTAGGCGCAGCTGCCACTGCCAATCTTTCGCACACTTAGGAAAATTGATCCAGTCGTGCCGAAATATACGCACGCGTATCGATCGGCCGATCTGGAGGTGGAAGAACGTGGGGAAAAATAAATAGTAGGACAGAGTTTCCAATACAAATGTATGAGAGAGAGAAATTATACGAGTGGCTAAATTGAATTTGAAATAGTTCGAGGTCAAGGTTTTCTTCCAAATTGGAAACTTTTACGTCATATTGCTCCTCTATATGTGACACTGAAATGTGACCTAATTTTCATCAAATTTTGGGTCCGCCACTGATATGCTTGGACGTGGACTTGTGGTTTGTGTCCGTATGTGTCATCTAACATCGAATTTCAATATCAGAGGTTTTGAGTTGACTTGAGTCGGAGGGAGTAATATGTACCCATGCAATCAGTACATTTTCCTTTTCAGTACAATGTGCAGTCTCATAATGGGCCATCAATTGTGGTTAGAGTCTATATATATTGGGCTTAGAGATATGGATTGCTTAATTCGCTAATAAAAAGACATTTGTATAAGTATAACCAGAGTTACTACTTACGAAAGGGCATGTAGTCTAGTGGTTATAAGAGCGTCAGTAGCACCTCAGGTCCTGGGTTCGACTTTCGTAGAAACAAATATTTGAATTTTCAAAGATTTTTGTCAATCTCGAGGATTTACTAACCCAGTCTTCGAAGATGTTCGTAGGGGTGAGGTGAGTGTACGTGCGTTGTGAGTGTCTGAGTTGTACTGTGTAATAAAAAAATGATAATGCTTTGACATGGATGTTCGTTCGGGTGTGTGGTCCGGACGCCATCATTCCTGGGCATGCCCATCGATTGGGCCCAACAGACAACGCCCGTTATTCCACTCTCGAACATTTTCCCCACTCGCGACCACTATCGTCGTTCCACTCCCGAACGTTTTCCCCACTCGCGACCGCTGCTATCGTCCGCCCGCCTACTCTACCTCGCCACCGCACCGCGCCGCGACCCATCCACCTCGCTCGTCGCGGTCATGGCGTGCAAAGCGCCACCACCACCGTGGCGCCACCAGGAGGTCACCGCCCGTTGCTCTCGATGTCCCCTTAAGCCCGAGTTTGCTGGCTACCGTAGTTCCCCACCAGGTAGGCCATGTGAAAGGTCCTTATTTGGTTTTGGTAATTGAGTGACAACCTAGGTGGACTAATTATGTTTATGTGAGATACACAGGTGATTAGTCCATAGGTACATGTGTGTGAGCAACATATGCCATGAAGGTGACAATGGTTTGGAGATGTTGCAAAGCACACACATGTGATGATGAAGGAGCTTATTGCAAATGAGACATGACATTAAGTCATGTGATCAAGGTGGAGAAGATCAAGACAAGACTTGGCTTGATGGACCGGTTGCAAGCGTGAAGGGCAAGTCGGAGGCTTTGGAGTGATGGACCGCGTGGCGGTGAAGCTTAAGCAAGACTTAGCGCCGATGGACGATGGCAACGGTGAAGAGCAAGTGAAGTCAAGATCGATGAACCAATATGATCACGTGATGATATGAAGTGGATCATATCGTTGTTGATCGTGTTGGTGCATGTGTTGCATCAACGTTGGAGGAGATGGAATGGAATGCGCAAGGCAAAGGTATAACCTAGGGCATTTCATTTCACCGGTCATAGGTGTGTAGAGAAGTTTATGACCGGATTTAGGATAGATGACCGTACTATCAAGAGGGGCAAACTTGTTTGCATATCGGTCATCTAGTGCCAGTCGAGTGATCTAACTTTGCATCGTTGCTAGGATAGAGTGGCATGGCAAGTTGAGTGGCTAATCCTTTGAGAAATGATTGTGAAAATGCTAACACACATACACATGGTGGTATACACTTGGTGAGGTTGGCACATTTACAAAGGAGATGAAGTTGGAGTTGATGTGGATCAACTCGGTGAAGAAATGGAGGCGAAAGGAGAAACTCCACCGGCGGAGTGTCCGCCCATAGAGTGCGGACAGTCCGATGGTGCCACCGGCGCCCTAGACAGAAAAGACAGGGTCTCACAGAGTGGACCGGACGCTGGTCACGTAGTGACCGGACGCTGGGGTCCTACGTCCGGTCAGAGCTGACGCATGGTGACGCAGGCAGAGCAGAAGCTGGAGAGTGACCGGACGCTAGGGCTACGTACGATCACGACCAACCGGACGCGTCCGGTCGGGGTCGGTACCTTACTGTAAACGACCGGACGCTGAGGGTCCAGCGTTCGGTCAGTTGAAGCTGCTGTGTCCGGTCGACAGATGACCGTTGAGATTCAGTGAACAACATTTGAAGGAGGGGACACGTGGCGTGCATCGCACGATCGGACGCTGAGGTCCAGCGTCCGGTCGTCCCGACATTTGCCCAGTGAAGGGGTAACGGCTAGTTTAGCCCATGGGGCTATAAATAGAAGTGGCTCTCGGCCATGGCCAAGGCTGAGCACCTAAGGGGACTTAGTGTCCATGCTTGTGAGTGCTTGGGAGCCCTCCATCACACATATACTTGATAGTGATCATTCGATTGTGTGAGTGAGCAATTCTAGTGCGATTGCATCGTGAGGTTGCATCGAGTGGCACTAGGTGATCGAGTTGCAAGCCCGGTGGTGCTTGTTACTCTTGAGAGGTTGCCACCTCCTAGACGGCTTGGTGGTGGTCTCCGTCGAAGCCCGCAAGAAGCTTGTGCGGTGCTCCGGAGAAGTGCTTGTGAGGGGCATTGTGCTCGCCCCGCGGGAGCCGCGAAGAGCAACTCTAGTAAAGCGTGTCATTGAGCTACCCTCACTCAAGGGGTAGGTTCTTGCGGCGCCCGACGTGCGGGCTTAGCGGGTGATGCTAATTAGCCGTCGAACCACTAAGTGAGCGGTCGACACAACAGGGACTAGCGTGTTGGCAAACATGTGAACCTCGGGAGAAAAATCATCGTGTCAACCTTGTCCTTCCCGTTGGTTTCTATCCCCGTTACACAAGCTTGCAATTATTTTCATATGCATTGAGCTTGTGTTGTTGCTTTTGTAATTAGTTAGCTTGTGTAGCTTGCTAGTTACCTTCTTGCTTGTGTAGAATAGAAGTAGCTCCCTTGCGTAGTTAATTTGGTTTGTATAACCTTGTTAGTCATATTGCTTAGTTTGTGTAGCTAAGTAATTGCGCTCTCTAATTTGGCATTGGTTGCCTTGTTATTGAGCATTGCTAGTGAGCTTATGTGGTTTTATGCTTCTGCTTACTAGCATGTGTAGGAGCTCCCTTATTGCTTTAAATACTAGTGGCATAGGTTTGTGTGACCTTACTCCTAGAATTGGTTAGGAGAGCTCTAGCTAGCCCTGCACCTTAGTTGCTTAATTAGTATGTTTGGAATGTGCTAGAGAACATAGATGGAGGGGTGTAGTCTTGGCTAGACCGATAGTTTTAATTCCGCACTTGTATCGGTCAGCCGACGCGATTAATTTTAAAAAGGACTATTCACCCCCCCCCCTCTAGTCGCCATCTCGACCCTTTCACCATGGCCGCCGATGACGCCGTGTTTAAAGTGTTTCGGGCATTTTGGACTTATGTTTCAAGTGTTTCGCTGGATATTTCATATGTTGCAATGACAATAAACGTATGTTCTAAGCCTATGTTCAAAGTGTTTCTTTTAAATGTTTTCATCTAGATGTTGCATATGTTGCTATGGTTGCACACGTATGTTTCAAGTGTTTGTTTTCATACGTTTCAGATGTTTCAGACTTACGTTGCAAAAGTGGATCTAGATGTTGTATATGTTGCTATTGGTTATACACGTATGTTTCAAGAGTATGTTTCAAATGTTTCATCAGTTTCAGTTTGTATGTTGCAAATGTTCCATCTTTATGTTTCAAAAGTAGATAGGGTGTTGCACATTTTGCAATGCACGCTGGTGGTGGACGGACAACAGCCTACCACAGTCGCCTGGTGCTACTGCCGGGGCGCCGCCGTGGTTCACGTGCGGACGCGGGGGCGCGGTTCCAGACGCTGGCGTGCGATGCGGGCGGGCGCGGGGCGCGAGACGCGATGCGGGCGGGTGTTGGTTGCAGGCACGGAGCTTCATTCGTGACGGACGTAGCTTCCGGAGTGGGATTTGGTACGGAGCGAAGGGAGTTGCGTGCGTCGGACACGGGTGTGGGAGCTGCGTCTGGACGGATGCAGTGTTTCGTACATCCAGGCGCTAGTCGTCCCATAAAAAAACAGTTATCATATTTCAAAATAATCTTATTATTGTCTTAAAAGAAGACACCTGTTGACGCGATATCGGTTGTCAACACGCTATTTTAAAACACACGATACACCCATTGTTTTCATTATGTTCAGTTGAAGGCAACAATTCCAACTCCAAATAATTCAACTATGTGAAGCTTCATTGGCGTGACGACCTCCCTGTCCCTGCTTCCTCGCACTGCTGCCCTCCGCGCCCTTCTTGCTGTCCGCCCGAGCTTTCGCGTTCGCCGGCGGGGCGCTGTACTGCTGCTTCTGCCTGTTCCTCATGATCTCCCAAGCAGAAGGGTATGCTTTGCCGAAGAGTTGTTCGGTAAGGCTGGCAGGTGTGGCCTGTGGCAGCTCGAGGCGTGTGTCGCCGGGGTCATCTGTCTCCAGGAGCGCGAAGTAGTTGGTGCCCGCCTTCTTGTTCTTGTTTGCCATGTCGGTCGGGCGCGAGCGAGCGAGCTACTAGCCCTTTTTCTATCTGAGATGATCTCTGATGACGGAAGCCTAGCGAGGCGGCAGTATATCTGGGCACAAAGCCCAAGCCCGTGAGCCCGGCATGGAGCCCGCTATTTAGGCCCGGCCCTAGCCCGGCCCGGCCCGAAGGTCAATGGGCCCGGGCTGGCACGGCATGGGGGTGCAGGCCGTGCTTGGGCCGCACCCTAGGCCCACAGGCCGGCATGGCACGGCCCACAAAATAACGGTAGGCCCGTAGCGGCCCAACGGCAAGCAGGCCGGCGGTCGCTGGCCCAAGAACTCCCCCCTCCTCCCCATATATAAACCGTGACACCCCCCGGCCCCCACCCCCACCCTAACCCTAACCCCATTCCCCTCCCAACCGCCGTCGCACTCGACACCCGCTCGGTCGCTCATCGCCACTCGCCTCCTCTCGTCGATCCATCTTCGCCGCCGGTGCGGCCGTTGTCCTTGGATCCGGTGATATCGCTTCCGCTCCATCACCTCTCCCTGAGTTCCCTGCTCCCTCAGTCCCTCTCCGTCTTCCTTTTTACTCCTTCTCTTCTGTTTGTCGATGAACATGTGAGTCCGCCTCCCCGTCTCTCTTCCGCCGTCGCTCGCCGACGCTGTCCTTCTTAATCCCGTCTTGCCCTTGTGTGGCCCTCGTCTTCTCCAGCGCCGGGCTCCGGTTGCGCAGGCAAGTCCATCCCCATTTGTAACCCTAACCCTAGCCCCTAGATCTATGTTTCTCAGTGTTTTGATTCTGTTTTTGGGATCATTTTCTCATCCTTTTCTTCTTTTCGTGTTCTTTTTCTTTGCATGTCTGCTGCCGATGCCTCGTCGTCAACTAGCCTTGGCGTAGACGGATGATGGGCAATGGCACCGTGGCCAAGCCGTAGCCGCGCACCATTGAGGAACGGTGCTGGAGTTCAGCCGTCCGCGGCCGAGGGCCCCATGGCGTGTGACCCGCAGGGCGATGATGCCATGTTCCCTGTGACTGGCGACGATGACTTGTTCGTGGCTGGGCTATCCCCGAAGCACGACGACGACGGCCGTGACCCCTTTGCGGTGTTTGATGACACCACCTGCGGGACACAGCCGGCGATCGACGTCGATGCCGTCGATGCAGGGGCAACGGGGATAGGGACGGTGGACTCCAACACCCACTCCAACAGCACTGGTGTTAATGGTAATGCTGATGGTAATGGTACTCATACTCCTTCCTCTGGTGCTGTTTCTGGACTTGGTAAGCGCAAGTCTAAGTGCCGGGGTGACTTTGAGGAGGTTTATGAGAAGATTAATGGTGTCGATGTGCGTGTTAGAGCTATATGTAAGATGTGTAGAACTGTGTTGAGTGCTAGATCTGCTGCTGGTACTGGTCACATTCTTAGGCACCAAAAATCTTACAAACAGAAACTTGATAATGCTTCTAGGGTTCAGTCTCAACTAGCTTTTAATGCTGATGGGTCTTTGCATAATTGGAACTATGATCCTGCTATTGCTAGAACTGAACTGTGTAGATTGATTGCTAGGCTTGATCTTCCTCTTGGTTTTGGTGACACTGATGCATTTGAGGAATATATTAAAAATTCTCATAACCCAAGATTTGTTAGATCATCTAGAAGAACCACCACTAGAGATCTGGATAAGTTATTTGCTGAACGTCATGCTATGATTAGGAACTGTGTGCATGCTTCTGCATCTGTTGCTTTGACTTCTGACATATGGTCTAGTAATGCTAAAGAGGATTACATATCTGTTGTTGCTCACTATGTGAATGCTGATTGGGAATTGCAAAAGAAGATTGTTGGTCTTAGGTTGATTCAAGTTAAGCATTCTGGTGAAAACATTTCTGCTTCCATTGCATCTGTTGTTGAGGAGTATGGCTTGGTTGATAAAATCTTTTCTATCACTTTAGATAATGCATCTTCTAATGCTAAGGCTATGGAAACTTTGACACCCATGTTTGCTGGTTATCTTGGTTGTGATCCTGCACCTGATGATCCTGCACCTGGTTACAGTCTTGTGCATCAACGCTGTGCTTGTCACATTATTAATCTGATAGTCAAATCTGGACTAAAAAGAATCAAACCTTATATAGAGGATTTTAGAACTATAATTAATTTCTTGAACTCCTCTAATCAAAGAATTGCTATGTTTAGAAACTACTGTGAAGCTAAAGGTATGAGACCTAGAAAATTTGGCTTAGACATGGATGTTTGATGGAATGCTACTTATCTAATGCTAAAACACTTGGTTTCTTACAGTGAAGTATTTTCTATGTTCATAAATTCAAATTATGGTTCTGCACTGTTGTCTCCAGCCCATTGGCACGTGGCTGGGAAAATATTGAAGTTCCTGGAAGTATTTTATGACTCTATTGTTACACTGTCTGGTGTTTATTATCCTACCAGTCCTCTTGTGCTGCACCATGTTCTAGAGATTGCAACCCATTTGCATGCATGTGAAAGGGATGTTAATCTTAGACCCTTTGTGTACCATATGCAGCATAAATTTCTTAAGTATTGGAAGGACATTCCTCTCTTATACTCATTTGCATTCATTCTTGACCCTAGAGCTAAGCTCAAAGGTATGCAAAGGGTCCTCCATTTACTTACTGAATATACTGGTACTGATTACACTACTTATTATGCTGATTTGAAAACTGAGTTGCATAAAATGTTTGAGAAAGTTTGGTGCAACCAGGTCACAAAGGGTTGCTGGTCCTACCCCACCCACTGGTAAGAGAAAACAGGCTTGGGGGGTAATTTTTGGAGGATCAGGTCTGCCTGGTCCTTCCAATGGCACTGCCCATTCTTCTTCTCACTCTACTGCTTCTGAACTTTCAAGCTATTTGGACAGCGACTGCATAACTGCTTATGAGGATGGTTTTGACATTCTTCTGTGGTGGAAGGACCACAAACTAACCTATCCCATCCTGGCTATTATGGCCAGAGATATCATGTCAGTTCCTGTTTCCACTTGTTCTTCAGAGTCTTGTTTCACTTAGCGGGAGGATCCTAGAAGAACGGCCACGAGCTTGAAACCGTAACATGTTGAGATGTTGACCTTGTTGAAGGACCGGAGCTAGGAGAGAAGAGGGAACAACATGAAGTCTGCTGATACCAAGGAAATTGAAGATGCATTCGAGAATCATTTCTGGATGAACCGTAGGTGAAGATGATGCATCCGTGGTGAGAGTGGCATTGGTTGGCTAGGAGTGTTGGAGTACTTTTGTGTGAGTTGAGAGTGGATGTGTCCCTCACTCACTTGCTTAGTTTTCAATTGAACATTTGAACAATGGTCTGTAATAACTATGTAAGATTAGGACATTTGGAGTCAGTCGCACTCTTTTTTCCCCGCCTATGGTTTCTCACAAGGGTGAGTTTTACCTAGGTAGGTTTTTAATGAGGCAACATTGCACAAAAAACAAATTCTTTTTGATATTTAAATCTGTTGTCTTCATCTTGTTTGTTCTTCTTTGCTTATTGCCTAAGTGTCCTAAATGGCTAAGTGTGAAAAATTGTGTTGGTCAAAATTCATACTTATGTGTTCATGGTTGAAAAAAATGGATTGAGATGTTTATTTGGAGGTGTTTTAGATTTAATCGGTGCGTGGGGTGGCACGGCTCGCTATTTTTGCCGTGCCTCACGGGCCAAAGACGCACGAAAAATGGCCTACAGGCCCGCATGCACAGGCAAGGCCAGGCCCATGAGTCGATGAGGCACGGACCTTGAGGCACGGCGTGCCTCCTTGGCCCGATAGCCATCGTGCCGTGCCGGCCCGTGACCGTGCCGTTGAAAGCTCTAGTTTGGTTTTTAGTGAATTGATGAAACCCTAAGTGCTAACCTAGTTTATCAAGTGATTATGAGATAGGTAGCACACTCCAAGTGATGAAGCAAATGAAGATCATAGCATGATGATGATGATACCATGATGATGATCAAGTGCTTGGACTTGGAAAGAAGAAAGAGAAAAATAAAAAGCTCAAGGCAAAGGTATAAACCATAGGAGCTATTTTGTTTTGGTGATCAAGACACTTAGAGAGTGTGATCACATTTAGGATTGATAGCCGTACTATTAAGAGGGGTGAAACTCGTATCGGAGTGCGGTTATCAAAGTGCCACTAGATGCTCTAACTCATTGCATATGCATTTAGGATCTAGTGGAGTGCTAACACCTTTAAAAATGTTTGTGAAAATATGCTAACACTTGTGCACAAGGTGATACACTTGATGGTGTTGGCACATTTACAAAGGAGGTGGTGTTTGCAGTGTTGAGATGGGTTTGGGTCCCTCTCTCGGGAAAATGGAATGCCTATTTTCTATTGCGCCGGATGAAAATTCTTGGTGGTTGACACATTTGAGCAAGGGTGAAGAAGTTAGAGTTGAAATGGAGTTGGTCGAATGATGTTTGGCGTCGGTCTCTCACCGACATTTGACATTTGAAACTCAATCAATGACCGAACAACTGAAAGGTTGCGTTCGGTCGTCTTTGTCGACAACACAGATGGCTAAGGTTGAGCACCGGACGACGGTCTGCATGTATCTCAAGTCAAGGTGGACCGGACATGTCCGGTCGAAGAAATACGTCTCGGGGAGCTTATCGAAACGACCGACGCCGAGGCTTCAGCCGTCCGGTCGGGCTTTTCTTGAGCATCCGGCCCGCTTCAGAGCCATTGAAATCGATGAACAACGGCGCTTGAAGTCGGTGATGCGTGGCGTCCATCGGCGACCGGACGACCGAGGGCCAGCGTCCGGTCAGATAGATGACCGAGCGTCCCGGTCGAGGCGTGTTTTGCCCAAAGAAGGGGTATAATGGCTCTCATTTGATTGGGGCTCTATTTATAGCCCCATGGCGCTCAAGGGAAATCTCTTGCACATTTTCATTGACATAGCTACCTTGTGAGCTTAGCCAAAGCCCTCCCACTCATCTCCACCATTGATCCATCATCATTGTGAGATTGGAAGAGAATCCAAGTG